GAAATTTTAATTGTCTGTTTGTCACACTGAAAGAAAAACAATGCTACATCCAAGTAAATATTTTGCTAAAGAGCGTATTGGAGTAATTATTTTATTTGGATTAAGTAAATTGCTTGAATATCTTCTTTCGGTGCGAAGAATTATTTTCTTTCGGTATTCTACATTCACACGAGTAATATTTATTTGATCCAAGTGAAATAATAACTTGAATTTTTTTTCAGTGTACAATTTTAGACGGACGTTCAACATTCCTCTCGGCGCGATTAGTTGAATACCCAATGACTTTCGCGCTTAATGGAAGACGCCCTTTCTGCAATCATTGGTACAATCGAACGTGCAACGTCTGAAATCTATTTATAGTGCCTGTCGTCTCCCCTTCCTGATATTTATAGACTCGTCATCGGTGTACTCCTCGGTATAGTTACGATGTAAGAAAGCCGGTTGGAGCACTCGGGATTAATCGGTAACTCACCCAGTAACGTGATCATGACAGCTTTAGTAACGGTCGTAGCGGTAACCGCGGAAAACGAATATTTTACGATATCCGTGAACGATCATAGGAAATTGGCGTTGCGAATGGCAGAGTGCTGACATTCCTTTTCAAGGACGAGGGAGGCGACAATCGTCCACGGCGAGCTCTAGCTGCCATTCGCTGTTCTAGATCGAGCACACCGGAGATTTTCCGCGCCGGTTGAGTTTTAGCCTTTTCCGATCGCATGCTCGTAACGCGGAGGTTTCTGCATACGTTTCGTTCACGAGTAACTTAGAGAATCGAGCCCCTGGACTTGGAAAAATTTTCAGTAATTTTCCGCCTTACGGGTACGCGTTTCCTTCGGCTAAGCCGAGCCGGTTGGCGCGTAGCTCGCACTTTCCACATGAGCGAAAGAGCGGAGTAGCGGGCGTAATCAGCGTCAACGATGTCCCGATGCATACACGTGGGAGTACGGTGACAGCGGCGTGCGACAACGTCCGGCGACGCTGGAGGAGCGAGCGTGGCAAGAGGTGTATCAAACGCAGGTAGGAGAGGTGTATACACCTCCTGCGAGTTTACGAGCTCCACGGCGAGCTCAACGAACGGGCAGTTACCTTTCCGTTTCGAGACCGTGAGGATCTACCTCCCTCCACGCTGCGGAGATCGCCGATCACTGGGTGAGTTTCGCGTGTCTTATGATCCGCGAGATCTCGGCGATTCCCGACGGCGTCAACCTCGGGTTGACACGTATAGTGTTCGAATCCTTCGATGCTGGACTCTCGAAAGCGTACTGCATTTCCGCTCGCAGAGCTCGTGAGTCTCGGCTCGTTCGTATTCACTTTGAAGAAGTGAACCGGTATGTTCGCGAAACGTCGGAATCAGACCCATGAAGGACGCGGTATTAACTCGGGAGCTTAATTAGATACCTCCCGATCGCGAAAGCATAAGGTGTCAACGCGTGAATTTTTCCAGAAATGATACGATCTGCCGATTTTGCTCGACCGTACGCGATTAAACATGAATAGTGCGGATGGTCTTGCGTCCGTTAAAGGGTTAAAAGCATACGAGTTTTATTACGAAATTATAAAGCTTTATTATGAAATTATAAATCCCACAAAAATGTGATACTTTCAAATACAATAATTAAACAAGTGTTTCTATTTTCCTTTTTATATCATTAATATGTTAATTTTAAGTTTTTTCCCGTACATTAACTACTTTCTGCAATAGATTTGCGTATACTTCAATTTTCTTCTTCCTTAATTTGGTAAAAATGGGTTACCCTGTTAATGGATAAATACATAAATGAAACGAAGTACATTTGAAAGAAAAAATACATCGCTGAAGTATCCACGAAAGGATTCGTTCTCGTCGTAAATCTCGGGGCATATTCTTCGGAAATTTATCGCGCGTGAGTAGTCGCTTGTTAGTGATGTAATTAAGCGTATTAACGGGATACAATTAGATTGCAATTAATACGTTTGACAGGAACAAAATTCATGCATTCTGCGAAACGATCTCGAGATTACTCCGAGATTAGTCCGGCAAGAGATCGACAAAATGATTCGAGCAAAAGGGGGGGGTCGTTTCACGTCGCCGGCGCATTCAGAGCACTGCATTTTTATTTTCGCTCTGATAACTTTCACTGACGGTCGCGATTTGTTTGATCGCGCTTATACCGTGATCTCGGCAATCTGCGCGAGACACGCCGGAGGCGTCTTATGACAGAGTGAACGGTCGCATTAAGAAGAATTGTGCTGATGACAACGGACAATAACGGCGGAAAAGGATACCGGCTGATGTAATCGTAACATGCAATAATCACGCTCAATCCCGAAGCCGATCATGCGCGCGTAAACGATACGCACTTGATACATCGGCGTTTACGATCTGGAAACGTGAACTTTTAATGGAAGAAGTGACAGTGCGCCGCTCACGTTAGCAACGGCAGTTATAAATGACGTCGACATCGTCGGGGCGCTCTCGATTAATCAATAATAATTGCAACGTAAAATCAGCGATATCACGCGCATGAAATGAATTACCGGTGAAAAGTATAGAAAACTGTACTTCAGAAAACTGGTAATATTATATTAATTCGCGATACGATTAAATCATAAACGTCGTTGATATCGCGCAAAAATGCAGATCCGTCGCGTGTAATTCGGCAACTAATTTCACCGATTAATTTGCCGATTATTTTGCCGAATTCCAGTGAAACGTCATTATAATAAAGCGACGTCGAGACGAGGCTCACATTTTACATGCGTGAAGCCGCGACTTTCGATTTCGGACCCGCCTAGAATTTCTCTCGTGGCCTCGCTCGAGACCGTAATACACTCGACACACATTATCGCGAACATAGAAGCGCATTTTTCGCGTCGAGGACGTGTTCAGATCCTTCTCCGCCTTATCGAAAGCCTCCCATAAGGCTCGGTTCGTCGTCGATTACCTTTTGCTTTATCACCGCGTTTCAATACCGTTATTCACCGCGTCTGACGGATCTAGGTCTGGTCGTACCGGTTTTCACCTTTAATCGACGCGAGACGCTTTAATCGCGCAAGAAATTTCGCGAGAGACTTTTTTTCTTTCCCCCGCGCTCGAACGTTCGCGGAAATCACCTCCGGATCACTTCGTACGCGTTTACCCCCCGCTCTTATTAACATCGAATCCGGATTCGAAAGTGCGAGAACCCGCCGATACGCGCATATTAAATGCATTAATGTGTAAGCATTATTTAATGTTCAAGCATTATCCGACGAAGGCGGCTTTTCTGTGAAACTCGTTTCGACGCGCTTGAAAATCGAGAGGCGTGCGAGTCGTAATTAGGAAATCATTAAGCGCGTTCGTTATTGAGGCGGCGGCGCGCCGCTGAGGAGCAACAACGCGGCTTGATAACGACGATTTATATCAACCCGTAAAAGTCCACCGTCGCTATTTCTTAATACGACTCCCGCGGTTTCACGTTTCCCGCGACGCGCGCCATCGACTTTACGAGCGAGGCGGCCAAGCAGGCGTACAGTTACGTAAAGACGTCGGAAAATCCAGTTCACATAATGACTGTGGAACATCATTCGAATACAATATCTGCGTTTCTCGTATCTTTGTAACCCTTTTGTAAGGTCGTACGCTATCGCGACCGAAGACGTTCGACGTAATTATTGTTATTATCCATTTATCGAAAATCGTTATACGAGCGATGACATTGCGGTGAATATCGATAATTATTAAAATTATTTCCAAGTAAGGATAGACAATTCAAAGATTTGAATTCTTCATAAGAAGTCCGATGTATTCCAACGTGAAAAGATGAATAATATCTAAGAAACCTTACAAGGATGTTAAATTTAATTATTGCCAAAATGCTAAAATTCTTTCAATTAGTCTGGATCCACAATGAGTGTGGTAAAGTTTTGCTTTATGCTCTAAGCAATAAAATATAACGCAACATCTGACAAAAGGCGCTGCCGAAAGTTGCAATAACGCTTAAATCTCTGCAAGTGCGACGTCCGGTGGTGCTGGAAACACTTTTTGCCAGAAATTAAAATTTGTCGGTTGCGGCAAAAGGCTAAAGGTTTATTACACTTATTGTAAATCCAGGCCTCTTAGAAGAACAGAGAGGGTCAATGAGAGTTCAGCGATTTTCGAGAGACAATAGACCTAATTTAACAGAGACAGAAACATGAAAATGAAAATATCAACCAGCTCTTCCTCCCTGTTTTTCTCACACGCGTGCGAGCGCGAACGGCGTGAAAAAAGGGGCGATATTATCATCGATTGCATTCTTAAGCGGTGTATCGTTCGTTACGCTCGCCTGAATTAAATTTCGCAACGTGATGCTGTTGCGTGTGCCGGCATTCTTTTCGTTGCGCGTTAGCGGAGCGCGGCTTCAGGCGCGGTTGGCAATCGCGTGAATTCTGCTCCATCGAGACTCGATTTTTCCGTCTTGTACGCGGCTGCGTATATTTTCATTTTTCGACTTTCCCGGGTTTTGTTTTCCGCATCCGGCGGCGTTGTTCTCGCCGGCAGTCGCGAGCCTCCGGTTATAATTAGCCGAGCGATGGAATTCATCCCGTGCGCATATAATACCGATACCGCACGATACCGTTCCGAGCGGTACGTAACCGCCGGCCTGGATGAATCCGCTCGCAAAAGATTCTCCTACTTCCGGCAGTAACGTAATCGATAATGCAATGTCGATTTTTATCTCAAAGGTACAAGCGAACGCGCGTTATTATTACGTCCTGCTCGTTTGAAAAAGAAAGAGAGAGCGCGCGGAACGCGCAATATACGTGCGGGAGGAAACGAACGGAAGAACCGAGAGAGGAGTTTCGTGTAACGAAAACCGCAAGAGAGAAGGGACCTCTCATATAACGGAGAAACAACATATATAACGAAGTAATATTTGATTAAAAACAAAATATCTCGGATCGAGCAAATGTTCGTTCTGTCGCTCGTCGTTTCGTCTCTGCGGATTTCCCGGGTCGGAATCGCAATTAATCAGCCGACGTGTTCTTTCGGCTTTCAGGTAGCTCGAGGAGGAATGAGCCGGCCCAAGATGACGTCGGTTTTGTTCGCGTGCGTTATCCTCGTCGCCTTGTGCGAGGCGATCTCGTCGTCCTGGCGACCGATCGTGCCGGCGCACAGCGGCGCGAGTACACTGCACCAGGAGGCATCGATTTTCGGAAACGCGCCAACGCAGACGCTCTATGACGCGGACAGTTCTCACCTGCTGCTGCCGCAGGACCAAGAGAGGTGTTCCCTCTACAAGGTCGCCATGAACCAGCAGCTGTACTTCGAGGTAGGGCCGGCGAACGGATTCGGCGTTTTCGCCGCGGAAACGTACGTTGAGATTTGAAAGAAAAGAATCTCAAAAGGTCTGAGGAGATCTTGGCGATTGGAATTTTGGTTTTGAAAATGTCGCGGGGAACACCTCGGGCCGCGCAGGCACTACGCGCGAGAATGATCAGGAAGAGCGGCCGATCAATACGGACGGTTAGAGAATGTTTGTTTTCCAAGCTTGTGTGAGGCTGTTTGCTCTAGTTTCGAGCTATTGACACTGCCCGTGTATCCCGCAGACATGCGTAATGCGCCGGGAAATGGATCGCGACCTCTGCTACCTAATATATTAATTGATTTGGACTATATAGATTATGTAATCATTAGGCACGCCGGCTGTCCAATTAGCGCGCATCCGCTGGCATCCGATATGCCGCGATATGCGATATTCTAATATCGGCGGGCGCGATTTTTCGACACAATCGCGACCGTTCGGCCAAACCGCTGAAGGTGCGCGAATCGGACATTGCGACGTCGATGAAATGATCGGACCGTTCGAATTCGAGCCTCTCCGAATGGAGCCGAGACTCGGATTAACTGCGATTCGATTCCGTACGACTCGCATATCTCCGCCGGGATTTCTCACGACGAATTACGCGGCTACGTCCGAGTGCGTCGAAGAAATTGCGAGAATTTACGGCAATTTCCGCGAGCCGTGGTCGCGTGCGACGCGGAATTCGCTCCGTTGAACGTGCGAAGCTCACGAGCGCGAGAGAGCGCCGCCGCTTGGCACCGCCGGAGATCCGCGATGTGAGCGAAATGATACGCGTTCTGCGGCCAACGAAAGTAAGGGAAAACACTCTCTCGCACTCGGCGGACTCCCCTCGGGCGCAGAGTCTCGAAACGAGTTCTGAATTATTGGCGCGATCCGAAACCGCCGTGCACACCTGCTTCAATCGGCGACGCTCCTCCGTTCGAGCGTCTTCGCTGGAAGGCACGCTTCGTTAGAAGCGAAAACCGACCCGCCGAGAGCGTAGTTTTCCGATCTAACTCGCGGCCGAGAAAGCGAACGTACGATCGTCCACGTAAATTACCCGCTCATCTGATCCAGCACGAGCGACGAGGTTGGCTCGGGTAATCTTTTGCAGTAGCTCGAAACGCCGATGAGGAATAAATTGTAGGACTTTGTCGGGGATTGTTACGGCCTCCCGAATCCCGCTTGCCAGCGAATTTCAATTATCGCGTGTAACTTTTCAACGATTTTACAATAACCGGGGAGCGGTCGTCTCTTTTCCCGGTGATTTCACGGCGACGATCAATCTCCGGCGCGATGGAATATCGCGCGTCGCCATTATGCTAATCGATATGCGGATTATACAATGCGACCTCCGACGAAAGCAGTCTCAGGATCGAGATAGGCGCGAAGCGGGGTTATTTGAGAACGGGACGCGCGTTGCCACTTTTGAATATTTCTCGTGTTACGAACAACGGGATTGCTGATTTAGGGAGGCAGGGAGTCGAACTGTTCCGCTTGATTTAGAACGGCGGTTATCGGCGGCCTTCGCCGAGATGGCTTTCTCGTATGTTTAAACGAGTGAATGTCCTTACGGCAGTTCATGACGCGTAAAAAGATGAAAAATCCAGATATTATTCATGTGAGAATACGAGTCTCGAGTTGATATTAATTTTGTCTCCGTGCGATGATATAAACTCAAGAAGTTCGACCACGCGCTGAACCGGTTACGAAAGAACGGCGTGAAATTAAATGTCGAAAACGAAAACAAAGACGCACCACAATGCGCCAGCGTGATTCCCGTCGACGGTCTCTCGTCGAGGAACGGTTTCGTCCTTTGAAATCCCCCCATTGTAGCGATTCGCATGGGCTCGAGAGGACGAGGGGAATAGCGAAGACATAGAGAACGGGGTCGCAATTCCGCGGCTCCGAGATAATCGCGATAATCTCGCGGTTCCCGCGAGGAGCAATCCGGCGGATGTACGATCGGCATGGTAAAATCGAGCTCGATGGAAAGCGGGCATGGAAGACATATTTCTTTTGTTCAATAGTTCGCCGGGCGACAACGGTGGTTCGTTCGTTTAGCCTGGGGTAATTGCGGCCGCGAGTACGGAAAGGAGACTGTCGCGAAATCGCGGATCTCGCGAACGGAACAAAGCCCGGCCGGCTGTGTGCGACTTTCTATGGCCGGTCGTCGTGCGATCGTTTTCTTCGAGACGCGATGCTATCGCCAAATCGCTCATCAACTTCGTTCCCTGCCGAGAGACAAGTACAAATGTCAGAAGTGAGGTAAAAAAATATCTAAGCAACGCGTATGTTTAAAAGTCTCGGTCAAAGGTTTGATTCTTCGCAACCTCTGAAACTTCGGAGAAGCAAACCTTCGGTTTAGACAACCAAATCTTTGGTTATTACAACCAACAAATTTGTTTGCCCATAGTCGAACAAGAATTTCGCTGATTCAACTAAATGAATGCTCGGTACGAATATTTCATCTCGGCCGTCGAATGTAACGGGCCCTTTTAGCGGCTGGCCGAACACATTACCTGTCAGTATCGCCGGTCGTAATACGCGCTGACGCGTGTATTCCGCGGCTTATTAAGTTTATGCATGCCGGCATCCGTAAAAGGAGCCGGACGTGCCGCGGAAGTAATCTCGACCGCACGTCGAGTGACTGGTGGAGTGATTTCGCGGCCGTTTTTGGAAAATTCGGCATATTTAAATTAAAGAGAACATTAAAAGTCAGATATTATTGGTAGATATTATTAGGGAGGAAGTCGTTAGCGTTATTACAAAACTTTTTACTGAAAAACGCTGGGAACTTTCTCCCCCAACCTAATGCGTATTTCCCAATAATTATACACATAATTCACGTGTAAAAGGACCTGAAATTATTTCATGCATGCACTTTTTACACATTCGTATTAATTGGAAGTACGTCTCTTCATTTTTACGCACTTCGCACTACGTACCATATATTATACACGATGAAATATGTTAAATTGCACATTTAAATATGTAAATTTATTTCTTTATGCTGTAAAGCGGATGCGTGTGTAATTTTTACATGGTAGATAAAAGCACACGAGCAAATGTGTAATTTCACATATACAAGTGTGTACTCATCACACATTTGGAGTTGCAGCGTATTTCGACAAAATACCGTCGGCTCCCGCGGTATTCTTGTTATTTTAAGGAAAATGTGCTCCGTGGCGTTTTTATACCGCGGTATAGCCGTCATAATATCTGGGAACGTTCATTATATTCATATTGACGCGCAGGAACGGCTTCACCAAATATAACGAGCCTCGCGCGAACACCGTGAGTTTTTGTTGCACGGTAAACACACTATTTGATTGTCAATTATTATACCATGATTCTGCACGTAGCGCGCAATTTCATTGCCCGAGGCGGACGATGTGTACGTACCTGTGTGTACTGTTCATCAGTTTGGTGTGCCCACTGAACTGGAGCGCAGTTCGTGCGGAGGTTTGAATCGATCGTGTGTACCGTGTCAACAGTCGATATAATCGATTAATTCAGACATGTGGTGACCGTCTCGCGCAGATCGGCCGTGAGATTAAAGAAAACATTGATCGCATTTGGCGACAAGAGCCGTTTCTCCTTTCCCCGGTCGAGCTGTCTCCTGCAAAACGACCGTCTGTCGGAGATTATTCGGCGTGCGATATCGAATTTACATACATACTTGAACTTCCGTCGGATACAAATTATTCTCGTTGGGAAAACAGCCATCGACGCCGCTGCTCGTAACGACATGTATATCTCTGTTAACTCAACTGACACATAAATTAAGCATGAAAAATAATAAAAATAATGCAAAAATAAGTAACATCTCCGTGTTTGTAAAATTGTATGCATTTATATCTGTCTTAATTTGGCACTAAAATTAACATTTAGATAGTTAAATAAAGGAAAGTTTTCTTTTTAAATAAATAATAAACTTATGAAGGGGCTTCTTAGTATTATCATTGAAAATTCAGCACGGAACTATCTTAAGAACGTTAAAATAGCATTAAAATTTCGATTCGTTAACTTATCTCATTTGCATCATTAAGAGATTCAGAAAGTATATGAAATAAAAGCCATGCCAATAAATCTTGGTACTACTCGAGAAAATATTCTTGAAATCGCCGTCGCTTACAAGTTGCATAAATTCCTCCGTCGAGCTAATCACGACTACACAAGCGAATACATCCGCTTCCTTGATGTCTAGACGAAATGAACGAGTACATCCGCTCTCAACGCAAATGAGTTAACGCGCATTTTTGCGGAAATCGCTGGATCGATGTCGTCGATTAATAACATAAAACGGGATTACTTATGTCGAATCACATCGAGGAAGCTATTCATAAATTCAATATCAAACAAAATTACGTTCCTATACGTTTATTTCATTACCTAAATAATAAGTGTTAATTTTAAACGAAATCGAGATAAACATACATTTACATAATATTACAAATACGAAAATATTATTATTTTTTTATTTTTCTTATTAATGCTATATTTATGCATCAGTTTCTCAATGTAATGACCTTTCTTTTTCTTTCTCTCTCTCTCTTGCAGTACATCCATTATAAGATGGACCTGCCGGACTTGAAGGAGTTCACCCTCTGCACGTGGACGAAATTTTACAATCACACCAACGACCATCCCCTGTTCTCTTACGCAGGTGAGCGCGAGCCCGGCAAACCCGTTTCTTTCTCCTTTCACCTTTTATCACGGACACGCGTATGCGCGTATATGTATAAGCGCGAATCGGAAACGTGAAAGCGAAAGTCCGCGGCATTTATCGCCGAAAGTTATCGTACGTTATGGCAATGAAATCGTCAAAGTCGCGTTTCGCGACGTCCCGCCTGGTCGCGCGATCAACGGAATAATGAGCTCGTAACGAGATAATCATATGTCCCGTTTGCTTGTCGCTAGAAAGAAGATAAACGCATAAGCAGGTCTCTCTCTCTCTCTCTCTCTCTCTATATCTATCTATCTATCTATTAATCTATCTTCCTTCCCCCCTCCCCTCCTTTAATCTATTTATCGCGTCGGAAACTCGTTACCGGCGCAAAAGCGACGGGTAAACCTGCTCTCTCTTAAATTACGGCGCGGGTTGCGTGTTTGATTAACGAATTTTACGCCGTGCGCTAATTCGCCGTTGACCTCGTTCTCGCATAATTGATATATTGTTTACCGGTGTAGCGACATTCGCGGATAAGCGAACAATAAAGTTGCAAATGAACGGCTCGGCGGATTCAATTGTCAGCATTTACAAAAACGGACACGCGATGTCCGTGATATTTATATCATGCACGCGTAAAAATAGGAAACAATTGTTTTGCACTAAACTCCGGGTAACGCGTGCTGTAATGTTGCCTGAAATTAATATAAATCATCTTCCGCCGCGTGTAACGCGAGCTCGTTGTTCGCGTGCGTGCGAAGTCGCGCGGCCGAAGCGTCGTCGTCTCGCAACGAAGTTTGGAAATTGTCGTGTTTCATGCGCAAAATGCAGATAATGCGTTCACTCGCGCAATTATCAAGGCACAATTTAAAACGTTACATCGCGCAATGATATGACGAGTGGACGCGCGAAATAAAGTCTCGTTAGGGCGTTCCTTTGCGGTAAGGATCCAGGTCGTGCGTTTTGTGCGCGATATTAAATTACACGTCGCTGCGCGATCGTCGATTTAACCTGGGTGAGATACCTGATCTTCGTGTACACGCGTGACGTAACGGTTTTATCCGGTTGCACAATCGATTCCGACGTGATGTTCGCCCCCCCCCCCCCCTTTTGTTCACGAATTAGCAGTTCGCTTCATAAGCAGTTCTTGATGCCGCCGTAAGAATCGATTCACGTCCGTGCATTATCATTCGCGTACGACAAACAATGAAGTTGTCCCGGCGCTGGTGTTTTCAATATACGCAGTTTAGAAAGGTTCGGCTTGCGGTTTTTGCGCCGATAAGAAAGCTGCACACGGTTGTCCTTTCCTGCGTGTGTTTTTCCCCCTCCCCCCCCCCCCCCC